CTTGGAGATGGGGGGCCCAAGACTCTGAAGAAGCCGAGGCGAGGAGAAAACCTGAGGCGTCAGCACTTTTTCACACTTGTCAAGAAATAGCAAGGTCACTAAGTTTTATGTTACTGTTACTAATTCTTATCTTCTAAGGAAAAGAGGAACCAGGTGCAGAAGCAGAAGTTGAAAGTAGCCATGGAGCGTGACCGCCGAAGCACAGCGTCACACAGAGACAGGTCCCTGGATGTCTGCGGGCCTCCCTGACAGCCGCCAGGCCTGCCACAAGAGCTTAGAGGAGCGGAGTTTTCTCCTCACTCCCTGGAGGACGGAGATGTCTCAGCCACCTTGGACGTCTCCTTCCCTAGCTGGCTAAACAGTGGGCGCTTTCCCGGCACCGACACTGGCACAGCCGAGGCGCCCTCCAGCAGCCCTTACGTGGGCGGGACAGAGGACTTAGAGCATCTTGCCTTAGGGTCACCTCTTTCCCGATGCCACCTCAGTCCCATGCTTCTTGACCTGAGGCTTGTTAATAAGATTAAAGATCATATGAATATATATGTATATATTTATGTTACGTATGAATAGCTATGTGATTATTTTATGATTATGTGTGTATATTTGTGATTACATATGAATACGTATGTGATTTTTTCGGATTATATATAGGAATAACTCTGTAACTGTATCTCTAATTCATTTCTGTTTCTATGTTTATATGAGAACATGCTCAGGCCTCGGACACTTGCCTCAGCTCTTTCAGGGTTCCCCCCCCACAGATGGGGCTTCACCAAGTTGGCCAGGCTGGTTTCAAACTCCTGACCCCAGGTAATCTGCCCACCTTGTCCTCCCAAAGTGCTAGAATTACAGGTGCGAGCCACCACACTCAGCCATTTCTGTGTGTAAATGTATATACATATATGTGTGTGTGTGTGTGTATATATATATATATATATATACATATATATATACTGTTTCTTTTTTTGAGTCAGAGTCTTGCTCTGTCGCCCAGGTTGGAGTGCAGTGGCATGATCCCAGCTCACTGCAACCTCTGCCTCCTGGGTTCAAGCGATTCTCCTGCCTCAGCCTTCGGAGTAGCTGGGATATTACAGGCGCCCACCACCATGTCTGGCTAATTTTTGTATTTTTAGTAGAGACAGGGTTTCACCATGTTGGCCCGGCTGGTCTGTAACTCCTGGCCTCAAGTGATCCACCTGCCCTGGCCTCCAAAGTGCTGGGATCACAGACGTGAGCCACCGCCCGGCCAAATGAAGCAAGCTATTTTAAAGAACAGTGATTCACACAGAGCTGCCGTGATTTTATGCAGTGCCTGAAATTTAACTAAACCTCATTAAACGCTTCTGTGAAAATGCAATGCCTGTAGTCCTTGCGTTCCGCAGCCTGTGGTCCCAGTGCAGCCGGCCAAGTGGCCACGGGCTTCACCCGGCGCGGGAACCCACCCAGCCCGGCAGTCGGCAGTCGGAGACCTGGAGTCAGGCTGGGCCACTCCCACCAACCGCAGCACCCACGTCATGGGTGGGTCTCTGGCGCCACCCCGCGACGTTCAGCCCTCTTTGAAGCTGTGACCGTGGCCAGCTACCCGACTCCTGCCCCCAGATGAGACCCTCGCTTTCTGTTTGGGGGATGGGGGCCAGGCATGGAGGGGGCTCTCCCAGGGCTCAGGCACAGGAATTCCCAACATTGCCAGCTCTGAACGCTGAGCCCTTCTGCTGCACACTGGTCTGTATGCCATGGGTCTCCGGGACACGGAGCTTGAGTGGGCAGGAGCGATGAAAGGGTGTGACCTCCTGACCCTTCTCCCTCCCAGGTCCCGGCAGTCAGGGCCCTGCCCCCCTTCCACCTGCCCTTCTAGGGGTCCAGCAGCTGAGGAAACTTCGGTGGGCACAGCAGGGTGACACCCGCCCATGGGATGGGGAGCCCTTGGGCAGCTGCTGGCTCCTCCCAGCCCTCAACCAGGCCACACACCCCTGTCCTGTCTGGAGCAGGCCAGTAGGCAATGTGGTCAGGGCTGGGGGCCAGGACCTCCAGGGACCAGGCAGCTGCCCTTCTTGCCCTGTGGCCTGCAGCCACCTGGGTGTCCTGGGTCCTTCCGAAGCCCAAAGAAAGAGGGGGTGGGGGAAAATGAGGTGAGGAAAGGGTGGGAGAGGAGGTTGGGGGGCTGGGGCAGAGGTGAGGGGAGTGGGAATGGTGGTGAGGACAGGGTGGGAGGGGT